TTGCGCGTGACTGCAAACGCGGCGAGTTCCGGTTTGTCACGCATGGTGCAAAAGTGCCGGTGTACGTGTTAGGATAAGCAAGCAATAGAGAATACGGAAAGAAGCCCCGGATCAATACGCCGCCTTCTGATGCTTTGTATTGTGCGCGTACACCCCTACCTTGTCTGCATTTGTCTGTTCAAGGCTTGTCCAACTTGAGAGTCCAAGTATCATCGTCCTTTCATCAAGGTACTGTTTGACCCTAAAGAGTTCTCGTATGACCAAAAGCTAACCATGTGACCTGTGAACTCTAATTAAGGTGTTGAATACGGATGGCAACGGGGCACATTACCCGCGGGCAGAGGGTTTACGAACCCGCACCCGTGAGGCAAACCCTGTGCCCGCACCCGCGACCCGTCACGGGCACGAAATTGAACCTGCACCCGTCACCTGCGGGCACAGTATACCCGCGGGCACACCCGTGCCCGCCAGCCAGATCACAAATTCACAGTTCACAATCACAGATCACAGATCCAACGCACAACAACAAAAGTTCACAACTATTGTTCAACATCTTAATAACAAGAGTACAAGCCACATGTCAGGCGGGTTCGAGGGTTTGCGGGCACGGGTAAGGTATTTTCATACCCACAATTTTTTCACCCGCGGGCACAAAATCAAACCCGCGCCCATGCCCGTGGGTACAAAATGGTACCCGTATCCTCACCCTAACGGGTTTTTACCCGCGGGCAGGCGGTGTACCCGTTGCCATCCATAGTGTTCAACAGCTTTCATTAAGGTTTCAAACCTGAATTATGTATAGGAAGGGATGGAAGACAACAAAAACCCTAGTTTCTATAAATAGCTTAATAGCCTTTTGGCGAGCCATTTAACTAATTATTTTATTAAATAACTCAAATTTGGCTAATATGAAAGTGTAGAATAGGTCATGAGCTTTGATGTAGTGCAAAGTATTGATGAAGATTTGGTGTTTTGATAGTTTAAATTGAAGAACAAAGTTTGAACTTTTAGTTCAAAATGCTTGGACTTGGAAAATACCCTAAGTCGGTGAGAAATGACAACATTTCCATTTTGCCGTAGCACGTTCTACATTTTTGCTAAGCAATAACTCATGCTCCAAATATAAAACTTGCACTACAAACATAGGATTAGAGATTGGGGGTGTTAACGATGAAATTGGACCAAGGTTTGACCTTCAAAATTGAAGTAAAAAAAGTGCAAGAATCACTGTTTTCATCCCTGTCCATGAGCTTCCAAACAGCCTGGCACTGTCAACTTGGGAGCCTTATAATTTCTAAACCATTGCCCGAATCATCATGGAGCCTTAATAGGAATTATACAGCCTGTTCGGTTGGCTGGTTTATATCGTTGCTGGTTCGTTTTTGTGAGAGAGAAGTACTGCTGGCTGGTTCAGATGAACAGTTTTTTTTTGTGAGGTGGCTGGCCAGCCCAGCCCCCGCCAGCCAGCCCAACGATCGGGCTGATAGTGTGACGTGTGATATCTCCAACTTTGGTAAAGGGTCATGGGCATCTTTCCATTCCAAAAATGCCAGAAAACTAGTGCCAAGAGGCTCACATGGCTCTTTCTCCCTCTGTCGGCCTAGTCACTGCACCATGCCCGCGCTTACCACGCCACGCCATGCGTCGCCGCTACTCTGACACGCCATGCCAGGCTCGTGACCATGTCGAGAAGAAGAAAGAGAGATATCCGAAATTAAAACCAGACGAAAGAAAAGAAAGGAAACTGAGCAGGAGAGAAAAAAAGGATAAACGAACTAGAAGAAACAATAGATAGAAAGAAGAAAAAAACAAAAAAGAATTAGAAAACCGAATCAAAACCAACCCGCATGCGAGAAAAAATGAAATGCAGTAAAACACGACAAAGAAATTAGAAATCGAATTATACAACGGGCGGAGCTAGAGGAAGGCAGTGGATGAAGAAGCAACGGGGGTTAATTTGGAAATAAAATGGTGGATTGGAAGAAACGTTTCACTCTTTAATTAATATTAGGTAGAGATAGAGATAGAAAGTGATATCTATTTTTTTTCCTTCTTTCCTCTTCTTTGTGTTTTTTGTTTTGGTTTTATTTCTCCGCATGTTTCTGTTTCATAGTGTTTTTTTCTTTGTTTTCTGTAAAATTCAAAAGAAAAATGTAACATTATGAACCTTTGAATCGTTGACCTTTTTCTAATCCTAGGAAATAAAGATTTTCACCACCAAATTGTTTATGTAATTATAATAGAAAAGAACGTGTAGTGAACAAAGATTTCTACCACCAAGTTGTTCATGGCGTGCTTCGATTGGATCACGAGCTGGCTCTGGAGCCATCCCATCCTATATCCGAACCTGACAATTTACTTGGATTGAAGCACGGAGCCGTCACATGCAGCACCAGGTGATCCTTTCTGTAGTTCATTTCTCGGACTCGGTTCGTCCGCCAGAAAAGCAAGGAGCCGCCTCGTCCGGAACCATGCTGACCGGAACCACCTAGTCCAGCAAACCAAACAGCCTGGTAATTTTGATTAGAAATAACATTTATTCTTATTAAAACTTGGATCCGCCCATGGTCCAACTAATCAAATCATGTTTTTTCATAAAATTTAAAAACAAAAATAGTTTCAACATTATAGGCTGAATCATTGGTCTTTTCCATAGAAACAAATATTTCCACCATCAAATTGGTCACGTAGCTTTGATTGGAAACAAAATTTATTCTTATTAAAACTTGCATATGGTCCAACTAATCAAACCGGAATTGAATTTTTAAACAGTTTGTTATCTAATTTAGTCCAAATAAATGTATCCATGCAATCCTTGATAAGAGATGCCACGTAGAAAATGGGGAGAGGTTCCCGCTATAATCATGGGTGGCATACTAATCTTAACATGTCGACAACTAACTCCTTGCCGATTTTAATTAGATATGAGTTACATATTTTTATGGGTTCTCAAAGAAAGTCACGGAACTCGATATTTAACTGTAGCATCACATAAATAGTATGAACATTAAAGTTATGATATATTTACGCCTAAGTATTTTTGTGCTTTGCAATGGGAGAAAAAATCTATCAAAAATGTATTTTAATTCGATAGAGTTAATAGGACATTATCATATTATTACTGACATTAACTTATATGATGAATACATGGTCATCATAAAATAAATTTATATATTATAGAAAAGATAAAAACGAATAGATATATCCTATAGGAGTGATTCCTTTCAATTGAATTACCTTATCTGTCTTACTATCATAGATAGGAATAATGAGAATTTCTTTTACAAGATTGAATAAGATCCCTTTGCTTTGAAAGCTATGCATATTTGCCAAGATACCGGATTTCGGAATATGATACATATAATACGTCAGATCTATCTTGACTACTTTCAATACATTTTGTTGCCGATTCAAGAAAGCATAATGATTATCCTTCAGATCAATTAATCAAGAAATGTTAGGATGACCTTCATACACAATCATGGTAGATAATATAGCCTTAGATAATGCCATTAAAAGAAGTAAATCCACTGGATTTCGACATTTATAGATACTAATCATTTCCACTCCATCAGAATCCCATTCAATCAACCATAAATAACCCATTGATGCTTCCATCAAAAACATGTTATAGTGCATAGATGTAATATCCGATTTCTTATATTGAGAATAATCAATAGCTTTGAAGCTGTAGTTCTCTTTTTCGAGCAATTCCCTTTGCAAATGTTCCATCCTTATAGGTAGTACTCCCCTCACCTTCCATTCTTCGTCATCGTTTTTCATGAATGTTTGATAGTTTTTTCTCCTATTGCAAAGCAGGAACATGTATGCTAGCTAAACTTAATAACATACACTAAACGTCCTATTAAGAATAACAAGAAGCACAACAGATCTGAGGAGCTAGCTAGATTGGAAATGATTGTGACAACAACCAACGAATCAACCTATAGCATTTGTAAGGGAAATGATTGTAAAAAAGAGTAAATTGACCTTACTCGCAATTAATATGTAGAGATCGTATATGGATGGCTCTGTGCATCTCTTTACTTGTCAGTTAGCAGGATTCGATGAGGATATTATCCAATCATCTTAATTTTAGATTTGTTTCGATAAGTTAAGACTAGTTTCTAGAGCTAAAAATTAGCTAAAGCTAGCTAAAAACTTCGCTAAAAAGGCATCTACTAACGCACGGTCACACAGACGCACGCTCTCTCTTCTCTCTTCTTCCTCACGCCCGCACGTGCTACTCTTCTTCTTCTTCTTCTTCCTCCCGTGGTCCCACCGCCTCGCGGCCCATCGCCCTGTCACGGGCGTGCTAACTGCGGAGCCCGACGAAACCTTAGCACAACCGCGGTACCACCTTCTCCCCGGCGGTCGCCAATGGCCATGGCGCCCCGGCCCCGACTTGGCTCGACCGCCTGCTAGGACCCTAAACCACCCTCATGCCGTCCCCATCGCCTGACCAGCTTGCCTCCAGTGAGTTCCTTCTCTTATAAGCCCACCAGAGTTGGGGGAGATGAGAGGGAGGGAGAGGAGAAGCCCGTCGGAACCCTAATTCCAATACGTTTGAATGTGGGAGGAGGAGGAAGACACCTCGCTGGCACCATTACCACCGCCACCGGAACCCACGTGCACGCAGGGAGACTCGTGCGCGTGGGGCTTAAAAACGTTTTTAAGTCATTATTAAAAAAAATAATAACCATGTGTACCGGGCACGCATCCTAGTAAACGTCCCTATCCGACGTTCTACGTCTCTACCACATCAAAAAGAGCTCACCCTACCGATTTGGATGACTTCCTGAAACAGAAACATAACATATAAATTCAGCAAACTAGAGGACCCAACCCGCAAAAAGCGCCCTTCGGCTGGGGACCGGAATAGAAATCTCCGAAGGGAGCTCGTCCCCTCTCGCCTTCGTCCCCTCTCCTCCGCCTGACCGCTGCTGTCCGCCTCCAACCCTCCAGTTCGACGCAGGCGGCGGCGGCGGCAGCGCGGCGAGATGAAGGTCTCCGTGAAGACGCTCAAGGGATCCAGCTTCCAGATCGAAGTGGAACCCACCGACAAGGTACTCATCGCTTGCGCTCCCGATCTGTCGCTATGGTTCTTGTTGATGGATGTATTGGCGGGGCTTCTTCGCTAGATTTGGCTGCTTGTTAGGTTCGTTTGGGGTCTAGGATTTGGTTGGTTCCCCTGCGGAGGCGATGAGAGTGTTGGAAGCCGCGAGCGAAGCTGCCGTGGATCCAATCTGTAGGTTGCTGGTTTGGTTCCGGTGATGCGAGTGGAACAGACGGAACGGAGAGCTGTTGGAGAGTTCGCCTGTGGATTTTCTGGTTTCAGTTTGGGTTCCTTCCAGTGATGTTTTCGTGGATACAGGAATCAGATGGCAAAGCGAAGTTATCAGGCATTAGTTCATTGGTTGCTCCCTTTATAGTTGGTAGATAGAGCATAAGTTGTAGTCAATCGATTGTCGCTTTCATACATCTCTGCAGGTTGTGTGTTTGATTGATAAAAAAAAGTAAGGCAACGTGATACCTCATTACCTTGCGGGCACGAGCATTGATCAGTTATTGCGGTTTCAGTTTACGCTCAGGAGCCATTCTTCACTTGTCGATGTTAGATCTTATCAGTACAAGCTACTTTCTGCCAGTTTGTTTCTAGGCAGCTTTAGGATGTAATGCTGGACTTTCACCTATTTGGTAATTTGGTTGGAGTGGATCAAATAGGTGCATGCCATAAAAAAAAGCCTTTGAAATCTGAGATTTTTCAGTTCACCTAAGTTCATATAACACGAACCTTGCCGTTGTCAAAAAAAAAAAAACGAACCTTAGATGCTATCATCGCCCTTTCGGCCTTTCATGAATAAAAGGATGCTATCAACACCCCTTCTATGGATAAGAAACTGGTAGCAATAAAGGTTAAGATATAAGGAGTAAATAAACCTTACTTGCTTACAATTGGCAGTAGAGATTGTAAGGAGACGATTTCTCTTTATTTATCAGCTAGGATAAAATGAGGACGCCTGACTACCCAGTTCACGTCCTACTGCAATTGTCTTAGATTCACACCGCTTATTTTAATAGTTTGACATGCTAGATAAAGATTCTGATCGGATCGATAACTTATGCACCAAGATAAGGCAATGTAAGCATGACGAGGAAGATAAACATTGACAATCTTTCAAATAGGAATGGTTCACAGGTGCAATGACGCCTACCAACCATATGTATACAACATGGTCCAACTAATAGAGGCACACTTATATCCACACAGCCAAAACATGTGCACGGTGAACACCCTATCAGCATCCTTATCCGGCTACAGCCTCCACGTTGTCTCCAATATCACAACCCGACTGATTTGGACACCTTCCATAAACAGCAGTGGGTACATATAAATTCACCAAACTAGAAGACCCAACCCGCAAAAGCACAGTTCTACTCAGGGGCCAAAATAGGACACTGTGAAAAGAAATCACCCTCCTCACTCCTTCCTCCCCTCGGCGGCGGCGGGGTGAGATCAAGGGCTCCACCTTACAGATCAAAGTGGACCCCACCGACAAGGAACCATTCATTCATGCTCCTGATGGTTCTAGTTGCTAGATGGATCGGCGGGGCTGTTTCACGAGATTTGGCTGCTTGTTATTAGGGGCCTGGGGCCTACAGAATCAGTCTTGTTGGTTTCCAGTGGTGCAAGTGGAATTGGCAGAATTGAGAGCCATTGGCCTGTTGCAGAGTTCGCTTGTGGATGTGGACATGGGGTGGCTTGGGTTTGAGTTCCTCCTAGGTGATGTTTTTGGTGGATACAAGAGTCAGATGGCACGGTGAAGTTATCAACAGTTAAGCCCCAAATCCATTGGTGCTTCCCTTTCTAGCTGGTCGATCTATTGTTGCTGTTATGAATTTCTGCAGATTATGTGTTTTTATCACCGTTATAAATATAAATTTCTTGATGATAGAGCCTAGGATCTAAGACTATAAGAGTGAGTGGCGGTGGCCGGCCGGCGCTTCCATGATGATCGTCGTGCGGAAACCAGGAGGAACCGAAACATAGTAGTCTAAGTGCAGGGGACATCAACTGTGTTGCCCTGCTTACCCCCTAATTGCCTAATCCCTGGACTCTAATACAAGTTGGATAGAAATGCATGCACGCAACTGAACTCCCTATGCTTTGCCGCCTCTCGCGGGTGAGATCGTGGGCGTGCCCACGTCTTCTGCCACTGTCCTGGTCTTCTCCTTTCTTCCCCTTCTCTTGTACACAATACCGGTTATAACACTGGAGGTTGTGTGTTTGACTGAAAAATATAAGGCAACGTGATACCTCATATGCTCAAGTACTGTTTTAGTTATATTGTCAATTTCAGTTTGTGCACAGGAGGTACTATTGACTCGTCGATGTTAGATGTCATCAATAAGTGACACTTTTGGACAGTTTGTTTCTAGGCAGCTTTTTAGGATGTTTTGCTGGATTTCACTTGTTTGGTACTGTGGTTGGGTGGATCAAAGAGGGTGAATCGGTTGGCTGCCATAAAAGAAAGCTTCAAATTTGCAAGATTTTTTTTAGTATATACCTCCTTCATATCTGTTATCTACTTAACAAATAAGGGTTTTGATAATGCAATCTTAGATTTTATTAGCATCCTGTTTTTCCGGTTCTTTCAGTTTCTATCTAATGAGAAATTGGTAGTGATGCTGTTGCATGCCCGCTATTGACTCGAGTTCTTCAAACAGGTTGCCGACGTGAAAAAGGCCATAGAGAGTATGCAAGAGCAGGCTTCCTATCCTGCTGACCAACAAGTGCTTATACACCAGGGGAAGGTGCTCAAGGATGACACCACATTGGAGGAAAACCAAGTGATTGAGAATAATTTTCTTGTTATAATGCTCAGACAGGTAGGCTACGTGTTTGTTATTCTGGTTGACACATGGGCACATGGCAAATCATGGGTGTATGACTTGGGATGATAAGAAAGTTATTGCCAAGATATGAATAACCGATAATGTTAACTGAATAATTGTCATGGTGCACTGGATTGTTTGAAAGAATTTGTGCTTCATTTTCTATTGCTAGCTTATTAGGCAATATTGTATATATGGATGCAAAGGCTACCGTGAATTTGGAATGTGAATGGCTACAATTGCATCAGAAATGTTCTATATATCTTATCACAGTACAATTGTAACCTTTCACAGAACAAGGGATCAAGAAGTGCAGCACCGGCTAAGGCAACCGCGAATCAGGTGAGATGTTAGAATATTTTGTTTGTGTCGATACTGTTTTTTTTTCACATTTTGTTATTTTTCTTTCAGTACTTAACTTTTTCTTGACCCAACTAATGTATAAGGAACTTTTGTCAAAATTAAGTTTTTTTATTTGTTGCAAAAGATACCCTTTCTATATATTCTCACTCTGGATAAAGCCATTAGCTATGACACAGTTTTAGTCTTTTAATTATTTGATGATATATTATATATGCAAATCAAAGCATATATGAGGTCTGTTGAACAACTGCCTTTTTAGTTATATATATATGTGGTCACTGTTTTATTGAGCCAAAGGTCACCAGAGCTAAAGGCCTAAAGTTCTAAGCCAACCAAAGTGGTTCAACTACAGTAGAAAAGTTCTGAACTTGCAATTCTCTGTGTTTTTGTCATCTGTTGATGTCTTTTTTCATCCTCAATGGATCTATCCTTGTTATGGTGCTGTAAAAAGAAAGCTAAAAACATAAAGCAACAAACAAAAACAAACAGGACAAAAAGAACAAAGAGACATGACGATAATATGCAAATACGTATGCTTTAGTGTGCACTGTAATATATTTCTGTTGAGATATAGACATTGACTTAAACTACTTTTGCAGGCACCCCCTACTCAGACAGTGCCTGCTACTCCACCTCAAACGTCAGCAGCCCCAGCTGCACCGGCACCTATGTGAGCTTCACATTTATTTTTATGTAAAAAAAGCTTGATTTGTGTTAGGATTGATAGTATGGATCCTTTTCGGTTGGTTCTAGGGCAGACAACATTTGCAATTACTGATTTCAGTGTCAGTTCTATGTTTGTATTGAATTATAACAAAACAAAAGGTTGTGCATAGTAGTGCGGTCTTTGAGTCTTTGACACTGTAGTTGACAGGCTGTGAGATTTGCAGATTTATGCCACATTTCTGTCTCTACTGTTTTGAGGAATTTTCTTACTACAAACATGTCATTCTAACCTTGTCCTAAGTCAAACAATTAAGTTTGACCAAATCTATCGAGAAGATCATCAACATTTATGACAACTATGAAAATGTGTTCCATGACGAATCTAATGGTACTTATATTTGGTAATATGAATATCGGTATCTTTTTGGGTATAAACTTGGTTAAACTTAAAATAGTTTGACATAGGACAAAACTAGAATGTCAAGTTTTATGGGACAGAGGTAGTACTATTTGACTTATCATATGTCCTTTCTTAACTTGAGTGTAACAATGCATAAGTTGGGTATAATTTCCATTCACATTATACTACTATTGTCATCGCCAGCTAACTCCTTCCATTCTCTGAATTAGTGTACCTGTCAGTGCACCGGCTGCAACTGCTACAGCCTCAGCAGCTCCTGCTGTTGCTGTATCGTAAGTTCCTGATTTTCCTTCCATCTTAGATGATTTAACTAATCTTGTAACAAGCATAATTTTGCTTGATGATGTATTGATATTTCCTATTAAAAATATCTGTTAAAAGTTGCTAATCACATTCACATATATCTTTTCTTTTATGTTCACTTGAACAGCACTGAGGCAGATAGTTATGGTCAGGCTACCTCAAACCTAGCTGCTGGCAGCAACTTGGAAGGAACAATTCAATCCATTCTTGAAATGGGTGGCGGGACATGGGACAGAGACACTGTACTACGTGCTCTGCGGGCTGCGTATAACAATCCAGAGCGTGCTGTTGAGTACTTATATTCTGTAAGAATGATTCTTTGTCCTCCCTTGCTACTTTCTAGGCCTCACATATGATGAACTTTCAGCAATCTATGTGTGGCCAAATACGTTTAACTAGTGAACACATCATCTATTGCATAAAGTAGATTGAAGCTGCATGCACATATGTTTAATTTGAATATTTCGTGACCTAATGAAGTTAATTGCCCTTTTATGCAGTTTTGTTTTACAATTGTAGACACTAATGTCCTTCATCTTCTGTTTAGGGGATTCCTGAACAAATGGATGCTCCTGCACCACCTCCGAGTTCCCAGCCAGCCAATGCTGCCCAGGCGGCACAACCAGCTCAGGCTGCAGTTCCTTCATCTGGACCAAATGCTAACCCTCTTGACCTCTTTCCCCAAGTAACTCCCCCCCTGTGCAGATACACTGACATTTTTTCAACTTCGAATTTGTTTCTCATATTTGCCCTTGTCTGAACTGTAGTCTCTTCCGAATGCTTCCGCTAATGCCGGCGCAGGAAACCTTGATGTTTTGCGTAATAACGCCCAATTCCAAAACCTGCTTGGTTTGGTGCAGGCTAACCCTCAGATTTTGCAGGTCTGTTTCCATGCTCTGTTGCTCATCCTCTCTGAGTCCCAAACAATCTCCCTTTTGCAATCCATTCACCCATAATTCATTTATGCATTGTGCAGCCATTGCTTCAAGAATTGGGGAAACAAAATCCCCAGGTTATGCAGCTAATCCAGGAAAACCAAGCAGAGTTCATGCGGTTGATCAATGAACCACTGGAGGGAGATGAAGAGAATGAAATGTTTGTGCTTCTTCCTTGGGGTGTCCTTGTTATTTTTGTTCTGCCGACATGGTTTGATATTTTTGTACTTCCTGAACCAGGATGCTGGACCAGATGGCAGATGCAGCTGAGACCATTGCAGTCACTCCAGAGGAGAACGAAGCTATACTTCGTGTAAGTTGATTGATGGATCTTGACTAGTTCTTACACATTTGCTTTTACCTGCATTCTCACCACCTTGGTTTTTATATTCAATTTACCCCATCACATTCTTCATGCGCAGCTTGAAGGGATGGGCTTTGACCGGGCACTTGTCCTGGAAGTGTTCTTCGCCTGCAACAAGAACGAGCAGCTGGCCGCCAACTACCTCTTGGATCACATGCACGAGTTCGACAACGATGACGGGCTCGGAGGGCCACCACTATGAGGCGGAATTGCTCTCAATCTCTCCATCATGCGAAGGCTGTAGCCTGTAGGGCAGAAATAGGAAAACGTTTTGGGATTTGTCTCGTCTGTCCGCTCCCTCTACATTTCTGTTTGGCTTTGCTGTTTAGTACATAAATCCTAGATTTACAGACAGACTTTATAACCTGATATAGAGGTAACGGATCTGTTTACTCTTTTCTGGATAAATTTATTAGCTTACTATATGTTTTGTGCTACTCATTGCCGTTCTGGCCGCATTGGGCCAGCAGTTTCACCGGTTCAACCTGACAAGCGCTGGCTGGAAGCAAGATGCTTGTGGGTTTCCTTACCGGTGGCTCGTTTACCCAATCCGGAACCGCGCTGATAGTGAAGGCTTGCGGAGTTGAACTGGTTCACATACTGCTTAGCAATCAGCACGTATGTTGTATTGACATGTGCGTCACATTCCAGCAGCAACTAATTATCAATGCGATGCAGCCACCATACAGGTTAGAGATGTTTCATGCAGTACCACATGCATATCCACACTAGGCTTTAGAATCAAGACGACATATAATACACTACTTAAATGCTGATTGAATCACCAACAGAAGCACAGGCGGCAAAGCCGCAGGGCATTAAAGTACAAGATTTTTTTTAAAAGAAATCAAGTAAGCTGTAGCACCTGCAGTCTCACCTCATGTTCACGAAAGAGTTGGACGTTAAAAAATATTACAGATATCCTGTATGGCTCTCAGCAATTTAAGAGACTTCGTGGGGTCATCAGACACTACTCTCTAGTAAGAACTAGCACAATAGTATGGCATACTCGCCACATCCAGTGAGTTTGGCTGCTCATCCATACGACGCACTGCCTGTAGCAATGAGCCCAGCAACCATCCAAAATATGCTAGATATCATCATCGAAGAGGGTCAGTCATCCTCAGAAATTACTATCATCTCAGGGGCAGTGCTTTGATCTGGAGAAGTTAATGGATCTGCTGGCTGAAGCAATGGAACAACATCCAGGCATGGAGCAGATGGCTGTGACTGATCTCCAGTTGCTGGAGTCACCACCACCTGATTAGCAGTAGTACCAACAGCATGGTCTGAGCATGGAGATGGTGGCCAGGACTGTTGCATCGATCCATCTTGTGGTGCCATCTCGATTCTGTGGCTACTGACAGAGGCATATGTCCCAGAGTTGACCGATGGCTCGGTTTTAATCTTCTTTGACCGTGAATAAGTCAGCATTTTTGCTCTCTCTCTTTCTCTTCTCCTTTGCTCTGTTCTTTTGTTTACAAGGGGCTCGGGCGATCCACTTGACCTGTCTGATTCATAGAAGTTCAGCCACGCACTCATCACAGCATACTCCTTTTCCTTCACAGGCTTCTTCCTTTTGCATTTTCCCTTTCGCTGCTTCTCTGATGCAACAAAGACTGATGCCATGGGTTTGATTCCAGGGGCAGTTGACAGAACAGGGGTTTCCTGAATGTCTTCGGGCTCATGCTGCTTGTATGCCTTCTTTGAGGAGCTCCTGTCCAATAACTTCTCATTGCTGCAGCCCATCAAAGGGGAAAGTTCTTTCTTTTCCGGTGCAACCGGGTCTTGCTTTAGTCTCTTCTGAGGGTTAGCTGGCTGAGAACAGGCTTTCTGAGCAATCAGGAGCTCATGCCGCTCTCCTGCTTTCTTTGAGATATTGGTTATTGGTGATTTTGCATTGTTGCTGCGCTCTGCTGAGGAGAGTTTGTTATTCTCTGTTGCCACCAATGCATGCTTCAGTTTTGGTGTTCCCTGGGGTCCAGAAGGGAGAACACTGGTTTTCTGAAGATCATCAGGCTTATGCCGCTTGCCAGCTTTCTTTGATGTATCTCTCCCAGGTGATTTTGCATCATTGTAGCCTTCCACGGACACAGGCGCTTGCTTCACCGTTGCAACCAATCCATGGTTTTGATTTGGTTTTCCTTGGGGTGCAGCAGGCATAACACTTGTTTCCCCAACCATTTCAGGCCTGCGCCTCTTGTCTGCTTTCTTCGAGGAGCTACTTCCCTGAGGTTTCCCATTGCTGCCACTCCCTAGACAAAGATGCTTGTCTTCAGTATTTGGTTTTGTGGCTTTAGTACTCCACGGCAACTGCAATATAGATGAACTGGATTCTTGAATGGCTCCTTTTGACTTGGACATTTCTGATGGTAAAGTCAGAAGCAACTGAGCACCTGGAGGGTAAATAGTTGATATGGTAACATGGCCTTACTTGAATGACAAGCATCAAATGCCACTGTCCAGTGACGGTGGGATTACCACAATACACAGAACAACATAATATTAAACAATGATTCTAATATGTCAAGCTTTTGTTACGGTCTGCTTGGTTGTTTGAGGAAAATGTCAAGCATGAAACTCTCATGAAGAAAAAATTATCACGGCACAAAATTTTTGTTGCATCAAGAATAAAAACAATCATGCGCCTAGCTCAGTTTATGTGTATAAGTGTATTTGGACAGCCACATTTAGCTTCCATAATCATTATTGCATAGATCAGTGTTTACAAATATAAATGCATATTACATATTGAAACGTGGGACATATACCTCCTGCAAATTTCTTTTGAGATGGTGCTTCTAATTTCAGCATCGTTGTTTTTTCGTATGTACCAGAACAGTCATCCTTGTGGCTGCCAAAAATAATACAATCAGTAACACAGCTCCTTGCATACACCAATGCAAACATATGCTGATTAATATTATCTGGAAATACTCTTAAGTGTAGTAATTGAGTCTATTCCAAAATAGCACAACAGTGGAATGTAAATTTAGTGATAAGTTGTCGGTGTTTCGAGTTACCACCGACGAGTAAATTTGTATTATTGCGCGTCTGGCTCGGATGGTGTGCTTAGAGGACACGAGGTTTATACTGATTCGGACAGAAAGTCCCTACGTCCAGTTCGTCGCTGCTGCTCGTGTTACTAGCACTGAAAGTTTGTAGTAGGGGTTACAAACAGGCGAGAGAGGGAAATGATCCCAAGTCTCTGATGGAAGGAGTGAGCGGGTGCTGAGAGCTCGGTTGCTGCCCAGCCGTGTGCTCGTGTCGTGCTCTTGTGTGGATCTGGATCCGATCAGGTCTTGATGGGTCGATCCCCTTCATGGGGCGCCCTGCTTTCCCTTTTATAGGCAAAGGAAAAGCGCGGGTTACAGCGGAGGAAAAGAGAAGAACCAGAGAGGGAGAAGAAGGCCTTCAGGATCGTCGGGTCCTTCTTCTCCTTCATGCGGGTCCCGCCGACCCTGCAGATGTCAACAGGGACGGCTCCACGTCGCGGCCCTGTCCATCACTGGCGCCATGCGCAGGCGTCATCTGCCGGCCATGGCGCTCCACTCCGTCTTAGCGGACGTTGTGGTGAACTGACGCGCCTGTTAGTGTTAGTACGAAGGTTAGGCAGAACAGCACCGGTACGCCTAACGCTGTTCTTGATGATGGATAAGTCTCTGTGTTGGCTGGTCTTTGTGGAGCTGCAGCATATGGTCCTTGTGGCAGCATGGTGGTCTTGCTGCCCATCAAGGAGGGCATCCTTGACTGGCTAGGACAGCATCTTACCATCTAGGACTAGCATCTTGACATATGCTTGGCTGGCTAGCAGCCTATAAATATATATCCCTAACCCCTCAGGTTGGCATGGCATTATGTGAGAAATAAAACAGAAAATTGTCCCAACTCCTAGTGTCATCCTCTCTCGATGAGTAAGAATTCTGCTACTACCAAGAGTAAGAATTCAGCGACTAACAAGTGGTATCAGAGCCGTACTATCCTGTAGCCTGAGCATCTCCTGCTCATCTCCTTTCCCAGCCTCACAACAGCCCCAGCTGGGAGCAGCAGCAGCTCCGGCCGCTCCTGCTCACTCCTCTCCCTCTGTGCGTCTGAAGCAGCCCTCTCCCCACGCAGCAGCCCCCCAATAGCGCGTCATGTCCGCAGGACAGTCTCAGCGCTCGGTCGCCTCGAGCACGTGACGTCGGCAGGAGGCCGAACTTGCCGCGGCAGAGGAATGCGAGCGAGCGGCGGCAGAGACTGCTGCGGCGGCGGCAAGGGCGTCGAGGCTGGCAGCAGCCAGAGCGGAGGCGAAAGCGGCGGCGGCCGAGGTCCAGGCTCTGCGCGGCAGCATCAGCAGCTCCGTTTCTGCTGACGACAGCGCCGACGTGGAAATCAAGCTGCTGGGGAGGGAGGTAGCGCGAGCGCGGGCGGCACAGTGGGCAGGCGCGCACGCCCACGAGCGCGGCGGCAGCCCAAACAGGCGCGGACGCGCCGGCGGCACTCCTGGAGGAGGCGCCCACGGCAATGGTGGTGGGCGGGTCGATGGAGAGCGCGGCCATCACAGGCAGCGTAGCTCTCCATCCCCGGATTGGTACCGTGGTTACCACAGGCTCCAGACTGTTGTCAGGGACGTCGGCCCCGGCGGTGGGTGGCCTACCCTCACTAAGACCAACTACGTCGAGTGGGCTGCGGTGATGAGGGCAAAGCTCCAGGTGCGGCATATGTGGGAGGCAGTCCGGTACGGCGACGTCGACTACGACCGGGATCAACGGGCGTTGGATGCCCTCATCGTTGCAGTCCCGTCCGAGATGTAGTTCTCGCTTACCAACAAGCGGACTGCCAAGGAGGCTTGGGACGCCATCGCTGCGGCACGCATCGGCAGCGACCGCGCCCGCAAGTCCATACTGCAGGCACTTCACAAGGAGTGGAAGAACCTGGCCTTCAAGCCAGGTGAGGACGTTGATGACTTTGCCCTCCGTCTCAACACTCTGATGCAGAAGATGGTGCAGTTCGGCGATGACACCTACGGCGAGGAGAGAGCTGTCAAAAAGCTCTTCCGCTGCGTCCCCGAGAAGTACAAGCAGATGGCTCGCTCGATCGAGTCCCTGCTGGATCTCTCCACGTTGTCGATCGAGGAGGCGATAGGTCGCCTCAAGGTCGTCGACAGCGATGAGCCACAGTCTCTCTCGGGACCCATCACCACTGGCGGGAAGCTCCTTCTCACTCGGGAGCAGTGGGCTGCCTGCCAAGGTGACCGGAAGAAGGGAGAGCCTTCTTCCGCGATAGACGGCCGCAAGCGTGGCAAGCCGCGCAAGGCGCGCAGAGACGCCCAAGCCGGGGCGCGAGGACATGCCGAGGGTGATGCCCTCAGAGGCACCCAGGGCGGCGCCGCCAGCAAGCACAAGTCGGCACGAGACGACACCTGCCGCAACTGCAGCCAGCTTGGTCATTGGGCCAAGGACTGTGGACAGCCACGACGCGGCCAGGCCCACATTGCACAGGCGGAGGAGGAGCCGGCTCTGTTCATGGCACATGCAAGCATCGAGCTACCTCCAGCGGCACCGGCCGCAGCACCTCTCCTCCATCTTGACGAGCCAAAAGCACACGCCCTTCTCGGCGACGGCTCCGGCAACGACAAGACTGACGGGTGGTGCCTCGACACTGGCGCCACCCATCACATGACCGGTCGACGGGAGTTCTTCACCGAGCTTGACCCTAGCGTCCGAGGCTCCGTCAAGTTTGGGGATGCCTCTGGCGTGGAGATCAAGGGCGTCGGCTCCGTCATCTTCACCGCCGTGTCTGGTGAGCACAGGCTGCTCACCGGAGTCTACTATATCCCCGCGTTGAGGAACTCTATCATCAGCGTGGGACAGCTGGATGAGAACGGTTCGCACGTGGTGGTTGAGAATGGAGTCATGAGGATTTGGGATCGCCGTCGTCGCCTTCTTGCCAAGGTAACCAGAAGCGCAAATCGACTCTACGTCCTTAACGTGCAGATGGCACAACCCCTCTGTCTCGCTGCTTGTCGGGATGACGAGGCGTGGAAGTGGCACGAGCGCTTCGGGCACCTTCACTTCGAGGCCCTGAAGCGGCTCAGTGCCACGGAGATGGTGCGAGGCCTGCCGTGCCTCGACCATGTGAAGCAGCTCTGCGACGTCTGCGTGTTGATGAAGCAGAGGCGACTCACCTTTCCCCAGCGGGCGAGCTTTCGAGCCAAGGAGAGGCTCGAGCTTGTGCACGGGGACTTGTGTGGCCCGGTGACACCGGCCACACCGGCAGGACGACGCTACTTCCTGCTGCTCATCGACGACCTCTCCCGCTACATGTGGGTGATGGTCCTCAGCAGCAAGGGAGAGGCTGCGGACGCCATCAGGCGCGCGCAGGCTGCTGCGGAGGCGGAGTGCGGCCGCAAGCTACGCGTGCTGCGCACCGACAACGGCGGCGAATTCACGGCGGCTGAATGCGCGTCGTACTGCGCTAATAAGGGCATTTAGCGCCACTACTCCGCGCCGTACAGCCCGCAGCAGAACGGCGTCGTCGAGCGGCGCAACTAGACGGTTGTGGGGATGGCTCGGGCCCTTCTCAAGCAGAGGGGGATGCCGGCTGTCTTCTAGGGAGAGGCGGTGGTATCGGCCGTCTACATCCTCAACCGCTCGCCTACCAAGGCGCTCGACGGCAGGACGCCGTACGAGGCTTGGCATGGGCGCAAGCCAGCGGTCTCTCACTTGCGGGTCTTCGGCTGCCTCGCGTTCGCCAAGGAGCTTGGCCACATCAGCAAGCTCGACGACAGGAGCACTCCGGGAGTGTTCATCGGCTACGCGGAGGGCTCGAAGGCCTACCACATTCTCGACCCGAAGACACAGCGTGTGCGCACGGCGCGCGACGTTGTGTTCAACGAAGGGCGAGGATGGGCGTGGGACAAGGCGGTGGACGACGGCTCGGCTCCGACGTACGACAACTTCACTGTCGAGTACGTCCACTTCGAGGGAGCTAGGGGAGTAGGCAGCTCTTCTTCGACAAGCGCGTCTACCCCAGTCCCTGAGCCTCCACCGACCCCGGCACCTGCTACTCCGACAGCACCACGCTCTCCAGCCAGGACCTCGGCTGCGATGAGTTCTTCGCCGGCTCCACCACAGTCGACACCGCCACGCACTCCAGCACCGACAGGCACCTCTCCGGGCACGTCTACTCCAACACCAGCTCGTGTCGAGCACAGCCCGGTTGAGCTCACTACTCCGCTCTCTCACGACGAGGAGCGCATCGACGCGTACCACGACGGCGAGCTGTTGCGGTACCGTACGATGGAGAACCTTCTCGGTGACCAGCCGGTGCCGGGACTGGTGCCTCACGACCTGGAGGCGCAGTTGCACCTTGCGTGTGATGACGGCGAGCCTCGGTTGTTTGCAGAGGCCGAAAGACACGCGGCATGGCGCGCCGCGATGCAGTTGGAGATGGATGCGGTTGAGAAGAACCGCACCTGGGAGCTTGCTGACCTTCCTCGTGGTCACCGCGCGATCACCCTTAAGTGAGTGTACAAGCTGAAGAGGGATGAAGCCGGCGCCATCGTCAAGCACAAGGCTCGCTTGGTGGCACGAGGTTTCGTGCAGCAGGAGGGGGTCGACTTCGACGATGCCTTTGCTCCCGTGGCACGGATGGAGTCCGTGCGACTCCTTGCGCTAGCTGCCCAGGAGGGCTGGCGTGTTCATCACATGGACGTCAAGTCGACGTTCCTTAACGGCGACTTGAAGGAGGAGGTCTACGTGCACCAGCCGCCGGGATTTACGATCCTCGGCAAGGAGGGCAAGGTGCTCCGCCTGCGCAAGGCCCTTTTGCGGCAAGCACCGAGGGCGTGGAATGCCAAGTTGGATTCCACGCTAAAGGGGATGGGCTTCGAGCAAAGCCCGCACGAGGCGGCCATCTACCGACGGGGCAGTGGAGGAAATGCTCTGCTGGTGGGTGTCTACGTCGACGACTTGGTGATCACCAGCACCAAGGATGCGGAGGTGGCGGCATTCAAGGAAGAAATGAAGGCCACCTTTCAGATGAGTGACCTGGGGCCTCTCTCCTTCTATCTGGGAATCGAGATGCACCAGGATGACTCCGGGATCACGCTTCGACAAACCGCTTACACCAAGTGCGTCGTTGAGCTAGGTGGGCTCACCGACTGCAACCCAGCTCTCACTCCGATGGAGGAGAGGCTGAAGCTGAGCCGCGACAGCACGATGGAGGTGGATGCTATGCAGTACCGACGTCTTGTGGGGAGCCTTCGCTACCTCGCCCACACACGGCCGGACTTGGCATTCTCCGTCGGCTACGTTAGTCGGTTCATGCAGCGACCGACGACGGAGCACCAGCAGGCTGTGAAGAGGATCATCCGCTACGTTGCGGGGACTCTCGACCATGGCCTCTACTACCCTAGGTGCCCTGGGGCGGCGCACTTCGTCGGGTACAGCGACAGCGGCCACGCCGGCGACATCGACACCAGCAAGAGCACGAGCGGGATCCTCTTTCTCCTCGGCAAGTGCCTCGTTAGCTGGCAGTCGGTCAAGCAGCAGGTGGTGGCCCTGTCCAGCTGCGAGGCCGAATACATAGCGGCCTCCACCGCTTCGACTCAGGCGCTCTGGCTCGCTCGACTGCTTGGTGATCTCCTCGACAGAGACACTAGAGCGGTGGAGCTCAGGATGGACAACAAGTCCGCTCTGGCCCTGGCAAAGAACCCCGTTTTCCATGAATGGAATAAGCACATCCGGGTGAGGTACCACTTCATCCGAGGTTGTTTGGAGGAAGGGAGCATCAAGGCGAGCTACATCAACACCAAGGACCAGCTTGCGGACCTGCTTACCAAGCCTCTTGGGAGGATCAAGTTCCTTGAGCTCTACTCCAGGACCGGGATGGTTCAACTCTCCCACAAGATGACGCATAAGACTTAGGGAGAGAATGATGGATAAGTCTCTGTGTTGGCTGGTCTTTGTGGGGCTGCAGCATATGGTCATTGTGACAGCATAGTGGTCTTGCTGCCCATTAAGGATAGCATCCTTGACTGGCTAGGACAGCATCTTAGCATCTAGGACAGCATCTAGGACAAGCATCTAGGACAGCATCTAGGACAACATCTAGGACTAGCATCTAGGACAGCATCTAGGACTAGCATATTGGCATATGCTTGGCTGGCTAGCAGCCTATAAATATGTATCCCCAACCCCTCAGGTTGGCATGGCATTGTGTGAGAAATAAACCAGAAAATTGCCCAAACTCCTAGTGTCATCCTCTCTCGATGAGAGTAAGAATCCTGCTACTACTAAGAGTAAGAATTCAGCGACTAATACTTGATGTGAATCCTCAGGTATGACCCGTCGTGGCCACGGGTTACATCGAGGCGTGCCGGTCTCTTCCTTGGTGTCAGAGTTTTGACCCAGGCCCATACGCTTGGACCTGGAGTGGTTGGCGGCGATATGGGTCCCCGTCGGGCGAGACGGAGCCCGCACCCAAGGGGTCCGGCGAGACGGAGCCCGTGGCCTAGAGGTCGGGCGAGGCAGAGCCCGCCCCCAAAGGTCGGGCGAGGCAGAGATCGCGACCTCGAGGTCGGGCGAGGCGGAGCCCGCCCTCAGAGGTCGGACGAGGCGGAGCCCACGCACCTAGGATCGGGCGAGGCGAAGATCGCGACCTCGAGGTCGGGCGAGGCGGAGCCCGTGCACCTGGGGGCGAGCGAGGCGGAGCCTGCGCACCTGGGGTCAGTTGGAGCTGTAGGCGCGCTCTTGACTGCTCGGTTGAATCAATGTTGACGACCATTAGCTCCTCCTCTTCGGGTACTCTAGTATTGGTCCCCGACATAAGTTTAAGGTCAATTTTTTTTAACGTAGTTTAAGGTTAAATTTTGAGAACAAATGCAACATCTAGTTCTAAAGGCACTGATTAGTTATTCGCTAGTGACCTTCTTGTAGGATAAACCTTTTAACAAGACTCAAACGACCCAATCTCCAATTTTATTGTGCCTGTGGTACAACGGGCACTCTGTCCGAATATGATAAGCTTTTATTTGTTATAGTAAAAACTCTTACTTGTGCCAGTAACAAAGCATGTTCCCACAGGATGCACTGATGTCATCGTTCTCAATGCAGCAGGCATCAGATGGAGGACCCTGGTTTATGGCCCTCAGAAGTGTATCACCACAAGACCTACACTGGAATGTAGTAATAGAGCGTGCCACATTATGATAAGAATACTGCCAAAAACAAACCTTACACCAAAAAAGAGAGATAGCACAATGAGCAGATTACAGAAGTACCTTCCACACCATACCCTTGAAGCTATGGGGCTCTTCTGGGATGAAATCATGACGGGTGGTGATACTGTACCCACCATCTGGTCTCTGAAGCACAAGAAAAAGAGAAATCACCAACAGGGCATAACAGCTTATGGGTTTTCAGACAGGAAACATAACCTGGTGGTCCTTTACGGTGCATGAGTAGGTTTCCATACAGGAAAGACTAACCTGGCGATCCTGTGCGCGGCATTTGTTAATGGCTTCCATCCAAGCACGGAAAGTAGCGCCATGATTGCTGGCATGATTTAACAGAAAAATCTAAGCAGCCGGCAAGCAGGGTAGAGCTGACAGCAATTTAAGCACATAACTCTTAATTAAGAGCAGAAGATGTTACCGGTCCTTCCTGTGAAACTTCACGTATATGATTGCATGGATCATTTCATGAAGCAATGCATTCTTCCGGTCAGTACATGAGCGATACTTCAGAAACGACTCGGAGAGTGTTATGGTATTTTGCTGTCTTGAAAAGGTGCAAGATCCAAAAGACCTGCATAGATAACCAAATCAGTGTTTCTATAATTCAGTTCAAAACTAAATCGATAAAGAAGGATGCATTTAGCTAAAACAATAAAATGGAGGATGCCAATATTGGATATAAACTTTTCAAGTATGATCTTTTCTTGGCAAGTATATCTGTTATCCGAGCATCAAAATAAATCATTAAGCATAGCAACCATTGGAGGTATCACCAGAATTCCTATTTTGTCTTTTGGTGATATTTAATTCAAGTTACCGAAGCTTTTACTACCCATTAAATTTCAAGGTGTTGCCCATCCATTTAATAAATCCAAAAGTCGGATACATATACAAAGTACCTAGTAAACCAGCTAAGCAAACTACAAACAGTTTGCAGATGAATATTGTCACTGATCAGAAACTTTTGTTTGTAGTATATAAACAATTCAATCATGCAGGACTGAAGTACCAAGGGAAAAAAATAAACCAAAGGTATCATTCGCTCCCCTTTTACATAGAGGTACCATAAATTCATAAGCAAGATGAACGATTCATGTGAAATTCCTACGTTCCAAACAGACAATGAAGTTTTCCCCTCACCTAACATTTCATGATCGCCACAGAGCAAATGAGGTATCCTCAACATCATAATGCATATTGTAACTAGCAGTACGCTCCATATCCTAAAACTACTCAACTACAGAGTACAGACTACAGTAAAGATTCAACAATCATGGTCGAATGGAGCAGTGGAGCACAGTAAAAGGGGCTCCTTTTCCATGTGCCTGGAGCTGAAGGGAAATTAAGGCTTTTGTGAAGATCAACGAGTTGAATGCATATGATCCTTCCCAGAAAAGGAAGAAGAAAATATACAAGAATAAAACCGTAAGAAATTTACTCAAAGAGAAGGGAAGAAAAGGGTGTATGATGATGATCAAGACACATTCTGCCTGGATTGGTGGGCACCAAACTACACCAAAATCAAAGAAATGGCGAGGGCGCAGCATGTTCTACACCCAGCCGCGCCCAAATTTGCCGAACCCAAAAGATTTACCGGCACTCCAAGAACAAGGCCCCGGAATTTATCGGAGAAACAACCCTAAAAGAAACACCCGAAAAATGCAGCACAAGAGATCGAGTACAGGACGCGGAAACCCAGCGCCTAACTGCGCGAAAAAGGGGCGGCTTTGAACATGCGAACCAGAGGCGCAGGTTTAGGAGGTACGGAGTAGCCAAGAACTGGAAAACCCCAACCTGCTTAGTGGTGGTGACGACGAGGAGCGCCACTGGGCGGTGAAGCCGGCGGCGGCAAGCGCGCCCCGGAAGTAGAGGCCGTCGTAGTGGTGGAACAGGTCCCCCACGTCCGGGTTCGGGTCCGCAAGGTCCGCCTCCGCCACCGCATCGTCCATGGCCATGGCACCACCGCCGAGCAGGCCGATCAACCGGCGCTGCTGGGCCCCTTCCGCGAACCCACGCAACCGCACCACGGACCCGAGAAGCCCCTCCCCTCCTCGCCTCACCTCTCGTCGGAGCCGAGGTTCCGAGTGGAAGCAGAGGAGACGGAGACGGGAGGATTTGAACTTCGAGTGTGAGTAGTAGGCGGCACTAGTAGGTGCATGCAGATGGCAAGGCCGCAAGGGGAGCTGGAGCCGACGCGACTCGCCGCGGACGTGACACTGACGTCCGGGCCCCACCCAGTGCTGTAGCCTTTTCAGTTGGGCTCTCTCTGACTCTCCACTATTTGTTTTTCTTTTTCTTTTTCGTGTGACCACTCAACCACGGCCACGCGGAGGCCTACGGAGGGGAGACTGAGATTGACGGCTGTGATTGTCCTCCGGTTGGAGCGGGTGTCACGCTGGCCGCTAGATGGAGACGGCACCCGCGGCGATGGCTGGCGGTGTTGGGTGGCCGGCGTGTTGAGGTGTAGGACCCGTAGTGCTCCGGCTCCTTCGAAGTTCGAACTGGCGACGGTCGCGATCCACGGCCCTGCCGCGCAGTGATGGCCGGCTCGGCGCAGCGCAGCGCCGCGCCGCAGCCCACCTAGCGCCCGGACTGCGGCTGACTATTAGTGAGCTTCTGTTTCCTCTCGTCTCAAGAGAGAACTTTTGTTTCCTCTCGTCTCAAAAAAAAGAACTTTTATTTTATATTGACTACCGAGAGAGATGTGATATGTGGTATAAGGTAGTACGAGGTAGAGAGAATTTCTTATTTGCTTTCTTTGTTGGTCTTTTAAAAAACTTTTGAATTCGTTGTCTATATGGATTGACCTTAACATTAGTTCCGTTGATGGCTTCCATGAGCTTTTGTTAAATTATTAGGTCTTCCCCATCGCTACACCGTGGCTAGTAGTCTCATTGTTCATGTCGTTGCGGAGCGTCTAGGAGTCAGTTCGGTAGGACTGAAAAATAAGTTAAAATATTGTTCCGATTGATTATTGTGAAAACAAAATATTATTTTATCTAAAAATACTATTCACGTGAACAGTAATCTTGTGAGTGGGCTGGTCAGCCAGCCGAACTTGCAGCGTGTATAATGGTTTTCGTAGAGGTGCATGGCATCCTGCTGAAGAACCACCGCTTCATCTGACAAAAAAAGCTCGGGCTCTTATCCCAAACGTGTTGTAGCGAGCGCTCATGAACTTTCATCTGAAAAAAGCTGACTGAAGTTTCAAAAGAGATACCAAGGCCTTGTTTAAATTGTCTCAAAAATTTTAAATTTTTTCACTTTCTCTCCATCACATTAATTTTTGAACATATGTATGGAGCATTAAATGTAGGTAAAACAAATAATTAATTATATAGTTTGGTTGTAAATCACGAGACGAATCTTTTGAGCCTAGTTAGCCCATGATCGAACAAATTTTGTCAAATACAAACAAAACGTGCTACAGTATCCGAATTACAAAAATTTACAATCTAATCAAGTCCCGATATGACTTGACAAAAGTGAGACTGCTGCCTGCAGTGTGAGATTAACAGCCTCAACCTCTCTGTGCATACGTGGTGTGGTGCTTTTTGTTGAGACCACTGCTTCTGTATGCCTGCGTTGGGGAAGCCCCTACGAAGCGAATGATGAAAGTATGTGGGTTGAGATAAAAAGTGCGGCTAAATAGACCCTCGATATAGACACGTGGTCGCATTACGTGATTTCTTGGAGTTTTATATGGTCTTGTTTAGGGCTGCTTCTCAACTAGTTCGAGTGACTTTCTTTATTGTGATGCTCTCCCTGCCTTGTTTTAATTTCAACGTGACTGTAGAATAAGCTAGCCGCGTGCAGTGGAGAAAATCATTCTGTTTCTCTCGTTCCTTAGCTCTGTGTTGTCTTCACACTCAGGCTCTCCCTCTTGCTCAAGCCCTGCCTCCGCCTCTCCTCAGTCAAGCACTAGGTCCAGAGCAGGACCCCAAGCCAAAGAATCTGCCACATTCTCCTCTAGCGGTGGCGGAGACATGTTGAACTTGCAACATGGAGATGTCTCCTTTCTCCTCCCAACGGCAGGGCCCCAACATGGAGAGCCCGCAAACAAGCCTAATTTTTTTTGGTTTTTGGGCTCATGGACAAATCCGCTTGCATCCCTATACGGTAGAAAGTCAACTTTGATTCAAAGCGAGGTTGAGAGGCCTATTTCTTTTTTCTCATCACTTTGGTTTATGGAGTTTTTGCATGTGTGGGCAACCTTTTTGTCATGGATGGCGTGGTTACAGAAAGACAATAATTATGTATTTTCAACATAAAATGTAAAGGTGTGTTTAGGGATTTAGATTTCTATGAAAACATTTTGGATCTAGATTCTGTCTAGAAACATTTTAGTTAACGAATAAAAATCAATTTATGAATTTGTTTGGTTGATAGGTTCAATTCTGATTCTAAAAAATATTATTACATTAAAAGATAGATCTTTTTTAGATGAAGAACACCTTAAATAAAATTTATTTTATCTTGTTTCACTTAAAAATGATTAACTGAACACTATAGTTGCTAGTACAAAAGAGGATAAGAATCATAATCACGCAAAACCAGCTAATTGACGTTTTTCCTTGCCGCAATGGGTGACTCATAGGTTACTCACTCCGTCCCATAATATTAGACTTTGTAGGGTTTAAAATTTGTCTAAAAAGGAAGACGTTATCTCATTCTAAGCTGTCCCATCACTCCATTCATTCCCTGTTCTTCTACTCTTTCCGTCACCAGGAAGTGAAAAAACAGAGATGAGTGGTGATGCGGTAGTGCTTTAGTCATGTCAAATCAGAAATGTAGCAGGTGCATAGGGGTAATGCAGACATTTATCCTCCACATTAATCGAGTATACAACGTCAACCTTTATGGGATAGAGCGAGTAGATCTAAATATTTTTTTATACATTTTAAAGGATTAAGTTCATTTTTGGGCCCTCAACTGTTGCGTTGGTCTAATTTTAACCTTCAACTACAAAACAAAATCGTCTAATGCTAGTACCCCAACTGTCAAAACCATTCTCTTTTAGCACCGGATGCGGGTGAGGCTGTTTTGTCCAACGTGGAGCGGTTTTATCCAATGTGGGGCCCACGTGTCATCGACTCAACCGAACTACACTGGCGTAGTAGCAACCGAGGTTGATGTAGGCGACCAGCGCCTGCCAGCTGCCGCCGATGGCCACCCCGGAGATCACCGACTGCACGCTGTTAAGCACCATGGTCGCCGCCAGCAGGTGCGCCACCTTCCCCACGGCCGCCTGCATGTCCCGGTTGCCCGTGAAGAGCACCACGAAGCTGTTGCGGTACGCTAGCACCAGCGCCATGGCCACCAGCCCCATGGCCAACGACTGCGGACTCGGACGCGGCGGGCGGCGGCGAATGGGTCACCACGACCGCGCGGGTGAAGCTGGCAGCCTCCGGGCATATCCGCCGACACAGGCGCTTGCTGAATCCGTTCTCAATCACTACATGAGAAGGGGGGAAAACAGCAGAGGCATCGAGCCAGTGGAGGAAGTCCCAGCCACCGCTGTCCTCCTCCTCCATCTCCATCGGGCGCATCGATCGAATTGGAAGCCGATGCCATAGGACAGTCGGAGCAGGTTGTTGCGCGCGCGGTCGCAGTCGGGAGAGGGCCTCCTCGACGGTTTGGTCAGATCCGCGTGCCCTGTGCCGTGTGCGGGGGGGCGGGGGCCGGGAGTGGAGTGGAGGGGAGGGGAGAGCGGTGGATGGAGGAAGGGAAAGGAGGCGATGGACGGACGGGGCGCGAAGTGGGGGAATCGACGAAACCAAGTTCCGGGGCGCCGTTCCTTTTGCGTGGCTGCTTTTGCTTGCCTACGTCGGGGGACGACGGGCGGGCGGTCTCGCCTCGCTTGTGTGTGTTTTCTGGCGCTTTCCAGTGGACGGACGGACGCGGGTGATCTTAGCGACACACGCGGAACGGAGCTTGTAACACCCTCGGTGTTACATTGTACAACTTTTCGTTAACGCACTGCATAAGCATCATATTTGTGTATACATGTTGGTATTATAGGGTATAAAGCAAATTTCGAAACTTGAAGCGTTCATTTGAAACAGGCAACGAGTTTACATTTCATGTCGCATGGTGTTACTTAGGGTTCTTAACGAATTTTTATTGAACGGAAATGTTATAGGACGCGTATGTGAACTTTAACAAAGTGGGTAGTATAAACTTCATAGGTGACGGTGAAAAACTTGCGGTCAGAAATGGGGTTCGCTAGCTAGTGTGTCAAGTAGCTGGGGAAAGGAATGCGACGCGAAACCGTTCGAAGTTTAAGTCATTTCGCGTAAGTTGAAAATGGGTCGATGAAGCCATGTTCGGCAATTTTTGTAGAGCGATCAGGTTAAGAAGTGGCGAGATGTTTTGGCATGGTTGGCTAGCCCTAGGTACCCTCTTGGGTATTGAGCAACTGGTTTGGCGTTTGGAGCATCGGATTTGAGTTTTGAGCCGCTTTAAAAAGCGTACAGGTCACATCTCTGTGAACAGAGCCGGCGCTGGCCGCGGTCACCACTTGGCTCAGTCTGGCGCCGCTGCTGGCTACCCAGCGCGCTGCCGCGCTGGCCGCGTCCTCACTACCACCCCTGCAAGCACGCCTACGTGCGTCGCCATGGCGCTGCTGGCTACGGCCGCCTGCCACCACACGCTAGCGCGCAGCTCGCACCGCCACTGCTGGCATGCCGCGTTCGGGACGCCGCCCGCGCCCTGTCCATGCACTAGCCGGAATTGCCGCCATGTCCCACGCTGCAGCTCAGGCGGCCGTGGCTGCCCGGCACACATCACGTACGCACGTACGCACGCGCACTGCGCCGGTGGACCGGCAGCTCTGCCTCGCTGTCGCATAGCACGGCACCTGGTCACGTTACGTGCCGTCCATCGCCACGCGTGGCACTACTTCCGTTGACCCAGCACGGCTACGCGCGCGTGGGACGGCTGCCTACTTCACCAG